ATTTTACATAAAAAAGCTTAGAAATACTCAAAATGACTTTAAAACTGCTTGTCACAAAGCATTTTAACCGATTTTACAACCCAAAACTAAAAAAATCGGTTCTTTCATTTCCACGGACGACAGAGCGTAATTTTAATTTAAAGATTTTTTATTTCCGAGACAATTTTACATGAGAAATCTTAAAAACACTCAAATTGAATATAAAACTTCGCGAGCGAGCGAATACAAGCGAATTAGCGAATCGACAATGCGACAACCGTAACCTTAATTAGATCCCGGTTGCGGTAATGCATGCTGGTAGCAATTAAGATGTGAGAAACATATTCCACATCGAGTCTTGTGAGTGAGGTTATTGTTCGATAGCAATGTACACACGTACAAAGCATGGATGTGATGTAATTTCCTAACGCATATAATGCTTCTTGAAAATCGGTTTGTGTTCTATTCACTGACTCAATTCAATGTATTATTATACACAGAGAGCAGACAAATTGACAATAACCTTATTTGTATGCTAGATGAAACGTTTCTAAAATTTTAGAATTAGTAAAACACACAAAAAAACACACTCTTGAATATTTATTCGTATCTTGTACAGGTGCAGTGAAGCAATAAAACGTGAAAGACACTGAGTTTTTCAAGTTACGATTTTTAGTAAACATGCCAAGCACACACAAACATCAGACATGTAATCGATCGACAGGAATCCCCCAAAGAATATCACGAATTGGACTTTTGTTAAGTTTGAGAAATTTAGAGATTCGTCGATACTTTTTTTATCATATTTATAACACAGGGTGACTCTCTGACAGGTCAACACCTACGATATGTTCTTATTTATTAAACTGCCAAGAAAAACTTGATCGTCTTGAGAATAATACATCAACCTACAACGTATTAAATTTGGATATCTTGATATACGTTCGCGCCAAACTTTTCCAACTTTTCAAATTCAGATTTATATTTTTTTGTTAGTCCCTCATGTATTGCCCGCTTGGGACATACTGTAAATTGATTAATTCGTCTTTCCGTTTTAATATCGTCTCTCGAAAAACATTATTTTGCTCAAATAGCATCAAATCCGGTCGGATTTAAAAATGTTTTGTAGAAATAATAGGAGGTCGCGGATTCGCCGTTCGCCCCCATCTAGAGCTCACACTACCTTTTTTGCAAATATTTTAAATAATGATCGGAAGCTTCGCCCCTGAGTATAACTCACACCAACAGTTTTGTCAAATTTTAAATGGGAGGCTGGCGGCTTTGCCGCTCGCCCACTTTTAAACCTCACACTATAGAATTTTATCAAAGTTAAAAAAATAAATATACAATTTACACATTTCTTGCCCAAATTTCTTTTATTTGGGGCTGTTAAAGTCTTAAACAACATTTCACAAATCACTACCTAGCTCTTTCGATCTATTTTTTTATTAGCTCATTGGGTATAACATCAATTTTTTGGTAACTCTGTGGTAATTCATGTCATAACCTCAAATTACACATTTCTTGACCAAATTTCTTTTATATTAGATTCGAAAATGTTTTGTATCGTATTTTGTAGAAATTCTGAAGAGATTTATCAACCTACAACGTATTAAATTCACAACTCTCCAACTTTTCAAATTCAGATTTATATTTTTTGCTAGTCCCTCAAGTATCGCCCGTTTGGGACATACTGTAAATTAATTAATTCGTCTTTTCGTTGTAATATCGTCTCTCGAAGGACATTATTTTGCTCAAATAGCATCAAATCCGGTCGGATTTAAAAATGTTTTGTAGAAATAATAGGAGGTCGCGGATTCGCCGTTCGCCCCCGTCTAGAGCTCACACTACCTTTATTGCAAATATTTTAAATAATTATCGGAAGCTTCGCCCCCGAGTATATCTCACACCAACAGATTCTGTAAAATTTTAAATGGGGGGCAGGCGGCTTTGCCGCTCGCCCTCTTTTAAACCTCACGCTATAGGATTTTATCAAAATTAAAAATATATATATACAAATTACACATTTCTTGCTCAAATTTCTTTTATTTGGGGCTCTTAAAGTCTTAAACAACATTTCACAAATCACTACCTACCTATTTGGATCTATTTTTTTATTATCTCATTGGGTATAACATCAATTTTTTGGTAACTCTGTGGTAATTCATGTCATAACCTCAAATTACACCTTTCTTGACCAAATTTCTTTTATATTAGATTGAAAAATGTTTTTTATCGTATTTTGTAAAAATTCTGGAGAGATTTATCAACCAACAACTTTTCAAATTCAGATTTATATTTTTTGCTAGTCCCTCGAGTATCGCCCGTTTGGGACATACTGTATATTGATTAATTCGTCTTTCCGTTTTAATACCGTCTCTCGAGGGACATTATTTTGCCGAAATAATGATTATTGTTATAACGTAAATATTCAAAATGACAATTCCGTTGCACATTAATGTAATTTTAACAGGCTACAAATACTCGTAAATAACAATTACATTTGCATAGTGTGACAGTTTAAAATACCGTAAATCTTCGATTGGATATTATGTTTGTGTTTATATTGAATTTTTTTTTCTGAGAGCTAGAGAAAATTACTTAATCGATTCCGGAATTAAAAGTGAAGAATGTAATCACAAGTTACACAACAAGATAATCGAAAATAGATGAAGTGTTCCCTGGAAACGTAACCACAATTGTAATTTCAAACAGCACATCAACTCATTCGTCTGTATTTTACGATTATAATAAAATTTCCTGCTATACATGAAAATATTATATACTCAAGACTTTGTCACTACTATAAACAGTAAATTTTCTTTCGAGAAAATCATATTTTGCACCGAGGTTTATTAAAGTGTATGAAACTTTTAAATAAAAAAAAATGTTTCTTTTAAACAATCAAAATAGTTTCCGTCGTATTAAAAATCAACACGATTTTTTTTATTTATTTTAGATTACTTTCCAACTCTGCAGCGGTTGGTGAAAAATGCAAAACTAGTTTACAACAAGCTGCCACTCACTGATACAAACCCAACAATGCAAAAATAGAAATAGTTAATAATTTAGAAAAACCAAAAATAGAAAATCCATTATAACTTGATTTCTTGCAATTTTGTAATCTAATCCTGTTTTGAATTGACACTGTTTCAATTATTAAAACGAAAATCCGTAGCAAAAGTGGCTTTTCCACCACTCGTTAAAAAATAATAAGCCACCACTCTAAATTTTTGCTCATTTTGTGCAATTAACATTTCACACTGAAAGTCTGTTCTTGTAGATTATAAATTAATTTAAATAGGTACAAAATTGAGGTTTTTTTTTTTCATTTTATTATTATTCTAACATGGTTTTTCCATTTGAGACTTACCTGTCCCCGATTGACGAATCCGTGCTTGGCGGCGATCTCGTCCGCCACCTCGTTACCTCTAGGGATATGAACGGCGAATTCGTTGTTGAAGAGAGGTCCTTCACGTTTTTCCGAAAGTACCACCACCACCGTGCCCAGCACACACCCGCACACGAAAAAATTACGTATTATACTATACAACATGACGATTACGCGAAATTTTTTTCAAAGCGATCATAGGGTGCTGGAAGGTTGGAAAAAATCTGAAACAAAATGAAACACATTTAGTTAAAAAATGGGAAAATTTGGAAAAAAACCAACTACGAGTCAAGATCTTCAAAAATTAAAAATCTGGCCCTTGGAAATGATAAAGAAAGTCACAGCTTCCAAACTGAGTTTTTTCGTAAAAAAAAATTAAATTTCATGAAAAATTAGGTTTTCGAGGTACCAATTATCAACGTAGTTGAAGTAGCGCAAAAAATCTCCTAAAATTGCATTTTGTTTTCAGATTAAAAATTTTGCTGCATGTAAAACAATTTTAAATTTGGTAATTTATAACCATTTGCATCCAAATTTGGTGCTTTTTTGGATCGGTTTCGCAAACAAACAAAAAATTTTTGCTTAAAAAAAAAGGCTTAGTCGATAAAAAAAAAGGAAAAATAAAGTTTTTCTCAACTTGATATGGTATTTTTTCAACCAAGTTCAGCGAAATATTGCAATAAGTCTGATAAAACCGAATTCTTAGCTCAAAAACATGTTTAACCGCTCGAAGAAAGCCAAAACAATTCTTTTCCGTCCTAAATTTGTAATTTTTGGCTAATTTTCGACCAAATTTCGCAAAATAATTGTGTGCCCGACTAAAAAGTAACCAAATTGCCCAAAAAGGCAAAAGAAACGTTATTTTCGGTATAATTAATTTTTTTGATCCGCCTAGACAAGTTTATAGTTCAAAAACATGCATAAATGCATTAAACTAGAAAAAATAACAACATTTCCGATCAAATTTGATGCCTTTTTAACAATTTTAAATTTGGTAATTTTTGCTCAAAACCATTGAAAATAAAAAAATAACACCATTTGCGTCCAAAATTAGAGCTTTTTTGACTAGGTTTAACAAAAAATAGAGTTTTTGGTTCAAAAAGGTGCTTAATCGCATAAAAAAAACAAAAATAATGTTTCTCTCAACTTGATATAATAATTTTTCAATCAAGCTTAGCGAAATTTTGCCATAAATCTGATGAAACCAAATTTTTAGCTCAAAAACATGTTTAAACGCTCGAAGAAAGCCAAAATAATTCTTTTCCGACCTAAATTTGTAATTTTTGGATAATTTTCGATTAAATTTTTGACTCGTGTATCTGACAAGAAAGGTACCAAAATGCTCCAAAAAAGCAAAAGTAACGTTACTTTCAAGATAATTAGGTTTTTTTGAACCGCCTTGACAAGATCTTGCAAAAAACTAACTTTTTAGGGTCAAAAACGTGCATAAATGCATTGAAAATAGACCAAATTTGATGCCTTTTCGACTTGATTTAGCGAAAAAAGTAAGTTTTTAGGTCAAAAAAAAGTACTTAATTACTTAAAAAAAGCAAAAAAAATGTTTTCCACGACTTGATTTGGTATTTTTTCGACCCAGTTTAGTGAAATATTTACGATAAAACTAAATTATGAAAATTTGTTGGTTTATTTTTGACTAAATTTCGCAAAATAATTGAGTATCTGACTAAAAAACGTTCTAAAATGCCACAAAAAGGTAAAGATAATGTTATTTTCGGTTCTGTAAAAAAATGTGCTTTAATGTTTGGTATTTTTCGGCTAGGTTTAAAGTAATCTCGAAAAAAAATTAGTTCTAAACCCAGAAACGTGTCTAAACACTCAAAAAAAGACAAAAACAACACCATTTTCCACCTAATTTTGTAATTTTAGGTTCATCTTGAGCAAAATCTAACACTTCTGTCAGAAAAACGTCCTAAAAAGGCAAATTTTAAAATTTGCTAGGCTTTTAAACTGTTTTTCTTTACAAAAACCTGAAAAAAAAAAACAAAACAACACAATTTAAATTGTATAAATCGCGCATCTGCTTTCTCGCGTTTATTTCAATTGTCTTAAATCTGAGGCGGTTTATGTGGTATTTCGTTCATTTCGCACTCGAGAGTGAGTATTTCAATTTGCCTAGTTGGTAAAATGCATCCGAGGCATATAATCCCGCTCTTCGGATCTCATATTTTAATTATGCCTCAACATGAACTGACAAAAACAGAATTTATTTCCACTGTTGGGAATTTCACACAATTTCGTGATGAAAATAAATTCGCAACTAAGTGTCAATCTCTCCTCATAGAGGAAGAGGTTTGCATTCTTTCCGAACCGAAAAACCATTAAGTCGGATTTGTTGTCATCAAATTTGTCGAGTAAGAAACCCCATTTATCATTCGGAACGTTTAAAAGTTTCCCTGAAACCGACGGCGAATTAATGCAGTGTCTATCTTGTGAAAAAGTGAACGGCGATAACAGTAAAATTGGATGGGGCATTAAGTCGAATTCAAAATTAATGCCCAAGTTTTATGCCGACGAGGCATCTTTTACACACATCATCATCATCATCCATTGGCCGAAATTTAAACTTTCAAAGCTCTCCAGACTTAATTATAAAGAACCACCGAAATTATCCCATCTCTGGAGACGTGTGCCCGGCTTCAGGAATAATTTGCCGTCCCTTGATGAATTAGAAAGTTTCCGGCTTCGATGGCGGATGTATCCGACTTTTTTCCAAGTTTAATTTGTACGGACGTCAACTTAAAATGTAGAAAAACTGAATTTTTACGAGACTTGCCAACTTCACAATTTCGAAAAGTAATCGGCTCTCATTTAATATTGACTCAGGAAAACGTAAATTTGAAATTAATTAAATTTCAACCGGTTTTGTAAAGTGTACTTCGTTTAAATTTTTAACTCGAGACTCGTCGGTACCATTCTTTCAGATAAGAAATGCTTTAATTTTAGATTAAAAACAACGTTCCCAAACCATAAATAAACCGTTTTATTTTCGATTTGAGGCACAAATGTTCCTCTACAAGACAATCACTGATTTCGGGCTAATTAAATAAATTTCGTCTCTGATTTTTTTCAAGATTATTGACTATAAATTCGATTAGGTGTTGAAAAAGAAGCTTTGCAATAAATCTGATAAAACCAAATTTTTAGCTCAAAAACATGTTTAAACGCTCGAAGAAAGCCAAAATAATTCTTTTCCGACCTAAATTAGTAATTTTTGGCTAATTTTCGACTAAATTTCGCAAAATAATTGTGTGTCCGACTAAAAAGGTACCAAATTGCTCAAAAAAGGCAAAAGTAACGTTATTGTCAGTATAATTAATTTTTTTGATCCGCCTCGACAAGTTTATAGTTCAAAAACATGCATAAATGCATTAAACATAGAAAAAATAACACCATTTCCGATCAAATTTGATGACCTTTTAACAATTTTAAATTTGGTAATTTATAGTTCAAAACCCTTAAAAATAGAAAAATAACACCATTTGCGTTTAAAATTAGTGCTTTTGGACTCGGTTTAGCAAAAAAGTGAGTTTTTGGTTCAAAAAGATGCTTAATCGCTTAAAAAAAAACAAAAATAAAGTTTTTCTCAACTTGATATGGTATTTTTTCAACGAAGTTCAGCGAAATATTGCGATAAATCTGATAAAACCAAATTTTTAGCTCAAAAACATGTTTAAACGCTCAAAGAAAGCCAAAATAATTCTTTTCCGACCTAAATTTGTAATTTTTGGATAATTTTCGACAAAATTTTTGACTCGTGTGTCCGACTATAAAGGTACCAAAATGCCCCAAAAAAGCAAAAATAACGTTATTTTCAGTATAATTAATTTTTTTGATCCGCCTTGACAAGTTTATAGTTCAAAAATATGCTTAAATGCATTGAAAATGGGAAAAAATACCATTTCCGATAAAATTGATGCCTTTTTGACTCGGTTTAGCAAAAAAAACTAAATTATTGGTTTAAAAACAATGTTTTTCTCAACTTAATTTAGTATTTTTTCCAAAATCTTGCGATAAAACCTTCTTGCGATGTTTAAACCTCGAAAAAAATGAAAATATACCTCCCTCGACATAAATTTACAATTTTTAGCAAATTTTTGACCAAATTTCGCAAAATAATTGTGTATCCGACAAAGGGAGTGCCAAAATGCTCCAAAAAAGCAAAAGTAATGTTACTTTCAAGATAATCAAGATAATTAGGTTTTTTTGATCCTCCTTGACAAGATCTTGCAAAAAACTAACTTTTTAGGGTCAAAAACGTGCATAAATACATTACAAATAGACCAAATTTGATGAATTTTTAACTTAGTTTAGCGAAAAAAGTAAGTTTTTAGTTCGCCTATTCGTCTATTCGCTTATTCGTCTATTTATTGCTTTTTTGACTCGGTTAAGCAAAAAAGTGAGTTTTTGGGTCAAAAAGATGCTTAATCGCTTAAAAAAAACAAAAATAAAGTTTTCCTCAACTTGATATGGTAATTTTTCAACGAAGTTCAGCGAAATATCGCGATAAATCTGATAAAACCAAATTTTTAGCTCAAAAATATGTTTAAACGCTCGAAGAAAGCCAAAATAATTCTTTTCCGACCTAAATTTGTAATTTTTGGATAATTTTCGACAAAATTTTTGACTCATGTATCTGACAAGAAAGGTACCAAAATGCTCCAAAAAAGCAAAAATAACGTTATTTTCAGTATAATTTTTTTTTTTTTGATCCGCCTTGACAAGTTTATAGTTCAAAAACATGCATAAATGCATTGAAAATAGAAAAAATAACACGTCAACTTGAAATGTAGGAAAACTGAATTTTTACGAGACTTGCCAACTTCACAATTTCGAAAAGTAATCGGCTCTCATTTAATATTGACTCAGGAAAACGTAAATTTGAAATTAATTAAATTTTAACCGGCTTTGTAAAGTGTACTTCGTTTAAATTTTTTACTCGAGATTCGTTGGTACCACTTCATAAATTCTTTCAGATAAGAGATGCTTTAATTTTAGATTAAAAACAACGTTCCTAAACCATAAATAAACCGTTTTATTTTCGATTTGATGCACAAATGAGCCTATAGCACGCCAGCGCAAGACAATCACTGATTTCGGGCTAATTAAAGAAATTGCGTCTCTGATTTTTTCAATATTTTCGACTATAAATTCGATTAGGTGTTGAAAAAGAAGCTTAGCAACTTTTCCATTGGATCAAAACTTC